CTAATGCTCTGTCTGTTACAATTGACCCCACCTATGAGGTAAACTGTAACATTACGCTTCCCGTCATTTTCGGTAGAATTGTACATGAATGGTAGGTGTTAGAAACAAAGTTGAAGTGTCCATTTGTAGCAGAGATGTTTGTGTTGCCTGAAAAAACTTAATTCCATCTTAAATACTTTTAAAGTCATTCAACAAAAACTAAAATGTGTCAGGTTGTGTCCTGTGCTCCTCTACATGTTATTTCATTTTATTTAGTAAGCTGTTTAAATTTAAATGAGTCCTTTCTTGTTCTCTATCACTTCTCTTTTCCAACATAGAGATTATCACCAATATTTATTACATCACCCAGGCGAACTACTATAAAGTCCTAATAAACATTCCATACCAAAAGGTATTTTGACCCATTAAGCACAATATCACCTGCATAACATGACCACTGACCCTTGTTTACCCACCTGAAGTCAGTTTTTGCAGCAGGCAACATCCCACCTCCTGCACACCCTCCGACTGCGAACACGCCTCCACTGCCTGACACACCACGCTGTAGCATTTCTCAGTCTTGGACATCAGGATCTCAACATTGCTTTCTAGCATCCAGACAAACACACAAAAACACATTTAGTTTCCCATCGTGTTTTTCCCCCAATCATTTAATGCTGTTACGTATCAAAGAAAGTGTTCCATGTAATTAGATAAAGATGTTTGAACTGGAGCCAACTTAACTGAATAGATGCAAGAACTTTATTTCCTTGGGGTATTTCAAGCCTAAATCTACTAACTCAATCACTAAATTCTAGCAATATGTCTTCTGCGTAAATCTTTGCATGGTTGAGCGCTCATAGCTTTGCAGGAAGTGAATGTTTCTGAAAATGCTATCGTAAATCATTGAATTTGTCGTCAAAACAGGGAGTACAAACAAGCCTTTAGCTCCCTAAAAGAAACTAAAGATTAGAAAAGCAGGAAGAACAGTATGACTTACCAGATTCAGCCAATGGTATGAGGACCTGCAGCGCAGGCAGCACTACATTCTCACTGTCCTTAAACCTACTGAGTGCACTCAGAACCACCACATGGTCCTTCCTCTCAATAAACTCCAACAGGTGCACCTCTGGAACTGAAGAAGACACACAAAGTGTACACACAGACACACAATATAGATAGTGCACAAAGACAAAAATAACAAAAAAATCGCAACCCTGATGTTTCTGACTCAAAATCCTTCCTTTTTAAAAGTTCTACACCAAAAAGTACTGAACGTATTTAACTCTCTTGAAATTGATGACTTGATGTTTCAGTACTGTATTTTTTATATGCTCTAACATTACATTATTATTACTCTCATTACATTATTATTACTTACGTCTCTCTAGCAGCAGGTGGAGAGCAGAGCAGCCCTGGAGCTGAACCTCCTCACTGTGAGGAAAAGTCTTCATGGCCTCCACCACCAACTCAAAAACATCCATCTCTTCCTCCAGAAGAAGCACTAGCAGCTCATCTACCACATACACACAAACACTTAACTAAAGAAAAAACACCATACAAAAGCATTCAAAGAGCTGGACATTATTTCCACTTAGGCAAGCTCAGGTTTCTTTTGCTGCATAAACAGGTGTTATTTAACACTGGCTACACAGTCTCCTTGTTTTGCCATCATGGGGGCTCATATACTGTACACACTGTAAAAAAAAAGGTGTCAAAAAGGGCTGTTTGGAGTGATGCCATAAAGAAATCTGAAAACCTCCAAAAATGGTTCTACTATGGCATCACTCCAGTAGACGTTTTTGGCACAGTTGTTTCTAAAGGGGAATTTCATAAATGATTTTCATTTGTCCAAATGAAAAACCCAAAGTATAATTCAACTGTTAAGATGTTAAGACTATTATACCACCATCAACATTACATATATAAAAACTCGAGAGACACGTGTGGGTTCACTGGTCATTTTGACAGTAAATAAAATGACTATATTTGTGTAGCAAGAAAAACAACCCTGGTTCCTATCACCACCATTGTAAAGAAATGTGACTCTACAAAAATGTTTCTCTGCAATGAACCATTACACATAATACTACTCTGACTAACTTTGTTTACAACTCATTGATTGAATTATGCATAGGTTTTAAACAATGCCAATTCCCCTTTAAGACTGTAATTCCCCTTTAAGAAAGAAACTGAGAAATCAACAGGTGTTTTGTGTGAATGGCCTAACTGACGCAGAATGATATCAGAAATAAAAGAACCACCACATGGTCCTTTCAAATGTTTCTTATACACATAAAACATTATGTATACATGTTTGTAAATATTATTTAGTAAGCTGTTCAAATTAAACATCTGCACCAAGTAAAGCAGTACACATATAATCAGTATGGTATACATAACATGCCATTTAAAATAGGTTACATGTCATAATGCAACCCCTTAAGGCACAATAACATAATCTTTGGGTTTTCTCATAATATACAGACTGTTCAAAGTACAACACTTTAAATGCAAGTCACATAAGGAAACACTGATAAACAGTAATGTAACTGCAGTCTGTGTGTTTGCTGAAGCTGACAAGCAGCTGAACCTGATTAAAGTAGGGCAGTGGTACACTAAACTAGGTGCAGCATGACACAAACTCAAACAGAATGAAGTACATGCTGCTCTTCCGCCCACTCCTGAACAGCAGTGATGTCAGTATCTCTCTCCAGTACCATAACACAGCTACAAATAGGGTTTATGTCGGTAATATCTAAGGATTCAGTCACATATAAACATAGACTTGGATGACCCATTAGGTCACCTTTTCTCTTTCAAAAAACTTTTGATTATTTATAATTCTGATCCCTCGCAATATAAACCGCTGAGGTTGAATAATGTTATTGTTCATTGAGAGATGCTGGTAAGAGCAAATTTACCTGACTTTAACAGCAAGGCTAGAGCTCTCAGCCCTACCATTATCACTTTAGAGTCTTCATGATGCACGGACAGCACCTTCAGAATTTGCCTGAATTTGCACATGCATGCACACACAAACACACACACACACAAACATTAGCACACATAAGCAAGCCTGCATTCACAAACACTCCTTTAAATGCATAGTAAAACTCAAATGATTTAATTAGTCAAACTTTCTACATGTATGTAAGGTGGTGAGCATTTCATTGAAGAGTAACTCCATCTATTTTTAAATTTCTACATAATTAAGTCGCTAAAGTGTAACAGTCATTCAGAGTGGTTTGATGTGAAATGCTTCATTTTAGAGTCAACCCAGGAACCAGGAATCAGATATCTGAAGTTTAAAGCCTCTAAAAGCTCCTTTTTATATGAAATGGTTGTGAATACATTGGCCTGAGACATTAGTTTACAATGATTTTCAGTTCATATATTTTTAAAAACACAATCAGGGCACACGTAGGGCACAGTAATGCAAAACATTATCAACATTACATATAAAAACTCAGACGACATGTACAAGTTCACTGGTAGTTTTGGGTAGTAAATAAAATGGCCATTTCTGTATTGTAGACGTGACTTCTGGTTCCTATCAGCACCACTGTAAAGAAATCTGAGTTGGTAGGTTTCTCTACAATGAACCATTTCACATCAAACCACTCTGAGTGACTTTGTTTAAATATCATGACTGAAATATCTGTGGAAATTCCCCTCTGTGGAAATCTGCACAAGTCCTCTGAGTTAAAGACAGAGGCAGTGAATGGGAGTTATGCAGGTAAGATAAGGCTACTTTTGCTTTCGGTTCTACTGTACATTTTTCCACTGTTCCTATCAGTCTGACCAGTATACATTCATAAAATTGGTTTCCTGAATGGTTCTTGGATTTTGCTGTTGGAACATTTCATTAGGGTACAGAACCTTAATGTGGATGTTCTTAAAACTTTAAAAGGTTTATCACAATAGTTCAGAAAGGGAGAGTTCATTTAGGGAGCCAAACTATGGCATTACTCAGAAGTACACGTTAACATCTGCATTTTTTATTTTTAAATCTTTTGTTTTAGTGTTTACCTCAGTATGTCGCAAAGAAACAGTCTCACACTTACTGGTGCACCCCTAAAACCTCCCAGCTGTTTCCAGCTCCAAGAGGCCTGACCAGCTTGTCCAGAGTGGCAGGGCAGATCTCCATCAGACGGCACAGCAGGGACCACCCCACCTGAGTTGATGGTAACAGGGGTTCATAAATATGACTACTAATTTGTAAAACTTGTATTTATAGAAATGACAGCGCAGAATGAACACTTACCTGCTGAACTTTGCTGTTGTTATAAGTTGACAGCACCAGCATTAGCGGCTCATGGACACCTTTGTCTTGAAAGAGCTCAGCTGCTGAAGACCAGAAGGGAGAGAGAGGCTTTCATCTCCAAAAATATCCCCCAAAGCGACAGACACTCATTCAAATATAGCTCAGTCTGCACTGTGCACGGTGTGTCCAGTTAGGATAAACAACCTCCAGCAACAACACACAGAAAGTAATGCACATTTCAACTCATAATATAGACATATCAGCATACCCAGGCCTGTAAATCACACACTGTAATACTGGCGACAGGAGTCTTAATGATCTTACCGCAGTCGTCTGTGTGAGCGAGGAACAGCAGATCCTGCATGATCTGAACCATGGTGCCCAACTGTTTTCCCTCCTCCAGGTTTCTCAGCCGCACTAACAGCTTCTTCACGCTTTCTTCCAGGTCCTCTTTGTTCACCATGGTGCTGGGTACCGTGCTGTCCCTCAGCTGGCATTAAACACGTGTGTACAGTCCTTCCACTGGAACATTAATGAGTGTGTTGATCCAACGCCACAGCGCAGCATAGCCTACTCCACATAACCCGGCTGTAAACTTTACAAAGCCCCCCTGACGCGACCACTGGTCTGTGAATCCGTACGGCGGGTGGACATTTCCAGTCCCCTCCACTGCACGACTTGTTGGGAAGAGCTTCCCGTCTTTGCAGGAGTCTCCCCTCCACTCGCCCGCAGGCGGGACTGCAGTTAGCGACCCGTGAGTCATATGACTGGTGCAACTTTCAAACAGGAAGCTTCAGCACGGCTGAGAGAGGAGGGCTACACTGATTACTCGTCCAAGACGAGCACTTTGAGGACATTTTTTGCGAAAGGTGAGTTTGTTCTGTCCTCTGAAGGAGAAGAAGAACAGGGCACAGTTAGCTGTTTCAACAGTTTTGTAATTTGTGCTAACGCTATAATGTAAACGCTGTAGTGTCTTAATGTAGGTTAGTTGGATCCGGACACGGTTCGATGCAAACCGAAACGAACAAGCTTATCGGCGTTTTTTGTCAAAAAGGAAAATATATTATACCAGGACAGCATAATAATTTTAATGTGTCAATATTTTAAATATTTTCTCTCATTGTCAGCCATTTAGATTTGACACTCTCTCACCTAAACACTTTTCAGTTAATGCTGTGGTCTTAAATGGTGACAGGAGAATATTTTAGCTGTATTGTTTCTGTTTTCCATTCATTATTTTTACAATGATTTCGTACATAAGATATTTTTCTGAATCTGTAAGGTAGATTTGCTTCCACGTCAATACACGCCCATTCGGCAACGTCACGACCATGGCCACGCCCCTCGCGCTGTTGGCTGAAAGAGCGCGTTGTGCGAGCGACTCCTCAAGTCGCTCTGGAGTCGACTCCGGTTCTGACTCCGTTTCTGACTCCAAGTGATAGGAATCGATAGAGTCGATTCCAAAAGTCAAGACAATTAGCCCTTCGACATATGCACAGTAATTAAATGTGAAGTGGTTAAGTGTGCACCATAGCGCATTTTTATAGGCAGCCCGCTACATGTAAGTGGATAATCTGATAGCCTATTAGGCCTTCAACTTATTAGAAAATACTAGCAGAATTAAAACTATAGCATATTTTGAAAGCCTAAATCACTTTATCATATAATACTACCAGTACTGAAATGTGTAGGCAGGACATTCTAATAGCCTATCAGAAAATGTTACCAGCATTCAAAGAATAGTTGGGATATTTTGATAACCTCAATTTAACATATCACCTAGTAATCTCAAGATGAGTCTGTACAAAATTAACATTAAAAACACAATAATATTTGAAACATTAAGTTACTGTGTTATACTAATTATATGCGCATGTTCAGTATGACCGATAGATTTGCCTGCGCCTACAACCCCGCTGAATTACCGGCAGGGTTTATGTAAACGGAAGCCGAGACATTACATTAAGTCTTGATTACAGCCATCAAATCTGAGCGTTAATGCAGCACTTTTGTTGTCGAGTTTTCGCAATCAGCCGAGTGTATTTTGTACATGATTTATAAAGAAGTGCAGCAAAAAGCGGAAAAATCTGGCCCATACGAAAGTTCGGGCAAACTTGAATCACTACGTAGAACCCAGACCAAGCTTCTCGATTCTCGATACCCGAATGCCTCGAATCGGAGAATCGACTCTTTTTCTCGACTCTCGTGCGCGCTTTGTGTACAACGTTTCATTTCGTGTCGGTGTTTATAATATTTGGCTTCAAACTCGTACACCGTCTCGTACCAAGTGCCGTCACCCCGCTGACATGACTTCAGAGCGTGTGTCTTTATTTTAAATGGATGTCTCTTCTGCTCTGTGATTCAGGCGAGAATGGTGGTTTGGAGCTGCGCGCCATGGACGGTGGGAGAAAAGTGGAGGACGAGCGCAGTCTGATCAGGGCTCCACACATCAACACCCGGGCTAACGCTGCTACCGCCGCTGAGGGGGACTCGAGCACGGCGTCTGGCCACGATGGCTCTCCCAAGTTCGTCTATGTCCTGGCCTTCTTCTCCGCGCTGGGAGGCTTTCTTTTCGGCTACGACACCGGGGTGGTGTCTGGGGCCATGCTGCTCCTCAAGAAGGAGCTGAACCTGAGCGCACTGTGGCAGGAGCTGCTGGTGTCCAGCACGGTGGGGGCCGCGGCGCTGGCGGCGGTGGCGGGCGGCTTCCTGAACGGAGCGCTGGGGCGCAGGCTATGCATCCTCCTAGCCAGCTTCATCTTCTCAGCCGGGGGGGTCATTTTAAGCGTAGCCCCCAATAAAGAGGTGCTTCTTTGCGGAAGGCTTATCGTTGGTCTTGGGATAGGTAAGTCACAGTGCAGCCTACGTGCAAAATGACATTACATGGGTATTAATAGGGAGTTTGCTTCAATTTGCTGCAGTAACGTTATCGCTTTAGGCAAGACTTTACATAAGATGATAGCTCATTGCTGTGAGGATTTGATTGCATTCAGTCACAAGAGCAAGACTTTTTTTCCTTCACCAAGTAGCATGAAACAAATCATAAAGTTATTATTCTAACAAAAAAAAAATATTATTATACATCACAATATTATTCCCACAGGTGTAGCTTCCATGACGGTGCCAGTCTACATTGCTGAAGTCTCTCCTCCTCACCTCAGGGGTCAGCTGGTCACCATAAACACCCTTTTTATCACCGGTGGTCAGTTCATAGCCAGTGTGGTGGACGGGGCATTTAGTTACTTGAACCATGGCGGATGGAGGTATGAAGCACACAGAGGAAAGTGCAATGCATGCTTTGCTTCATGGAAACATTAGAGAAGGTTTTTAGTGTTTGTTTTAAGAGGGATTAAATAAAACTACATGTTCGTTAAGATAAACTATGGCAACAGGTAATCAGTGAAGTGAATGAGGGCAAGTTTAAGACAGACAGGGTCGAAAGTGAGCATTAAGAAAAAAACAGTTGTGATATGTGACAGCAGGTGATTTCTGAGCTTTGTTTTATGTGTGTTTGTGCTGTTGGGATGCTTTATAGGTATATGCTGGGTCTGTCAGCAGTCCCTGCTGTGCTGCAGTTTGTGGGCTTCCTCTTTCTGCCTGAGAGTCCTCGCTGGCTCTTGCAGAAGGGTCGATCTGAGCAGGCTCACCAGGTGCTCACACATATCAGGGCCACTGAGAATGTGAATGAAGAGTATGACAGCATCAAAAGCATCATCGAGGAAGAGGAAAAGGAATCTGGAGGTAAGTCGCTGCTGTTTCGATTTCAGATTTTAACCAAAACATGGAATATAGTCATAAATTCCCAGATGCATGAAAAACTCTGCCTTGTTATGCAAAGCTAGGAGCTGAGAACAAACTCGGCAGACTACAACTCAGCACACTTCAACAAATATGCAAAGTGCTATGCACAGTATTTAAAAATGTGCTGGATTTTATTGACTGTTTGTCAGGGGGGCCAGTTCTATGGCGTATCCTAACCTGCGCTCCTGCCCGGAGAGCTCTCATTGTGGGTTGCGGCCTTCAGATGTTCCAGCAGCTTTCAGGGATTAACACCGTAATGTAAGACATTTATTGACTGTACATACTGCTCATGAGAGCAGCTAATCCACAACAGGAAAACTGTGCCCTGTTAAATGTTGCAACTCAACACAACATTGGCTGCCACAGTAAGAGCACAACTTAAAGGGGAATTCCACCAGTCTTTCAGAGTGTTTTGATGAAAATGTGAAATGCTCCATTCTAGAGAAACTTTGGAGAAAGAATTGTTCAGAGTGGTGGTGATAGAAATCAGATGTCTGTAGAGTTTAGTGTCCCTAATAGTCGCTAATAGTTTACATCTCAATGATTGAATTATCCAGAAATTTTGAAATATTGGTGGAATTCCCCTTTAAGAAATGCAGCTTGTCTTGAGAAGAGGCTTATTTTAGAGTGAAAAAGATAGACCTAATGATTCTTGTTTTTTTTACTTGCTGTCTCATCTCACTCACCTACTGAAGTTTTTCTAGCACTGATCTCTTGACTAAGCTAAAATCTAGCCTTTGCAAAGTTCAGGTACAGAGTGAAGTGTTCCCTGAACCAGTCAAACACATAAACAGTTATTATAGCTTCAGTCACATGTTTGCAGAGGTCAAAGTCCATCAGTCTCACCATATTATGTTAATTTGTTATTCAATAAATTTCTCTGTAGTGGTTCAGCGCTTTGCATAAAACCCTTGGCTAAAGTGAAACTTCACATATTACATGGTACCATTCCTAAACATTATGAACAGCTTTAAATTTGTATGTTTTAGTAGACTTAGACAATGCAAATGAAAAACAAGTAAAACATCTTAGTAAACTGGGCGACCAATTCAAGGACATACATAAAGTGTTTTAGTGAGTTGTTGAGACACCACGATCAGCCAGAACAGCTTCAGTGCATCTTGGCATAGATACTACAAGTTTCTGGAACTGTACAGGAGGGATGGAACACTATTCTTATATATATGTAATATATGTTCTATTGGGTTGAAATCTAGTGACTGAAATTATTTACATAATTTTCATACTCATCAAACTACTTATCAGGAACAGTATTTAAAAAATTATACGTCAGCTTTGAGTCATTTCTGAGGGAAAGTGAAAAGCAAATGAAGCTAATATACAATAGCACTTCTAAAACCCTTATATAATCAAAACTGAAAATGTGTGACCTGAGCAAACTTATATTTACATGATGTAATAATGGAAGTTTGATGGATATCTTTTCCTGTTTCTGTAGGTACTATAGTGCCACCATTCTGCAGATGGCGGGAGTGCGGGATGATAAAATGGCCATTTGGCTGGCTGCTGCCACAGCATTTACCAACTTCCTGTTCACACTGGTGGGGGTGTGGTTGGTGGAGCGGGTAGGCCGTAGAAAGCTGACCTTGGGCAGTATTATTGGTAAGGACACAGCCTCATTTGCATCATTCACATACATAGATCTCTTGTTTAGTAAGTAACAAATAGTACAATTTATATGATATTCTGTAATTCCCAGGCACTGGTGTCAGTCTGTCTGTCCTGGCTGTGGGATTCCTGCTCTCTGCTCAGGCCTCTCCACCAGTGACCTTTCACCCTAGTGACCCCAGCTCCCTCAACTCAACCTGCACACACTATGGGTGAGTGAAACCAAAATAATGCATGCTGCTTTAATCCAGTTTCCATGATTTGATAATTTAATGTTTTAGTTTATTTTCCAATACATTAGTGTGACATGAGTGTGCTGTCATTTGCTCTCAGGTTTTGTGAATACTGCATGCTGGATCCAAACTGTGGCTTCTGTTACCGTGAGAATGGCTCAACCATACTGAGCTCCTCCTGTGATCCCGTTGATCCAGCCAACACAGAAGAAGCTGCAAGTGGCAGGTATGAGTGTATCTTTGTGCTTTTTTCCCCTTTTTTAGATGCAAAGCACCTCGTGGTCCTGGCTTGTAACTCACTCATTCGTACTTAGCGGGCTGGAGATTCACCAGAAGGGGGTGCTGTTAGTATTGTTGTTACCTTTGGAAGTGCATGAGAATGGTGGTTTGCATCAGTGACACTTTGTGTCCTCAAAAAGTCCTTTGTTTTGTCACCCTAGTATTTTCCCTAAAGAATTTTTTTTTAAAAGGCCATGTTTAGCTTTCTTTTTATTATTTTTCAATATATTAAGTGCTTTTACTTCTAGGGTATAAATTCAATCTTACCTAATCTTACCTTCAATCAGGTGCTCCAATGCTACCCAAGGAAGCACAGGTGCATTCTGGGCCTATAACTACTGCCCAACCCCGTACTCCTGGATTGTATTGCTGGGTCTCATCCTTTACCTGGCCTTCTTTGCTCCAGGTTAGAAAAGCCATACCCTATATGCTTTTGAGCGCTGATACACGATGATTGAAACATTGAAACATTGAAAACATTGAAAACGCACATTGAAAAAATCTGTTTTATATTAATCAAGATTTTGAGATCTGATGTAAAATTATTTTTGTTTTTCCACATAATTATTATTGTTACATGCACACAATGAATGGTGGAAGCAAACATAGTTTATGAATACTTATTCTCTTTTCACATGCTTAAGCTTGTGTGTGTGTCTGAAGGGATGGGCCCAATGCCATGGACGGTGAACTCTGAGATTTACCCGCTGTGGGCTCGGAGCACTGGTAATGCCTGCTCTGCTGGCATCAACTGGATCTGCAACGTCCTCGTATCTCTGACATTCCTCCACGTGGCTGAATTGCTCACATACTATGGTAAGGATCTACACTAATGATTAGTTTTGGGCAATATGGCAAAAATATTATATCACAATACTTCAAGTCATTTTCAAGATATACGATATGCATCACAATATTTCATTTTTCTAAGATTTAATAAGTTGGGACTGACAAAATAGAACCTGCCACATATAGAAATATAATAATAATAACAATAATAAAAATATTAATAATAAATCAACAACTACAATGATTTTTGTACAATGTTTTACAAATGGCACTACACTAAATCTAATTACGCATGGCTAACTATGCTCTCTTCGTAATGAAACACATAGTCAGTGTTCTTTAAGTACTGGCGATATCCACAGTATGCTCAGAGAAGTGATGATACTCATGTCATTTAACCTTTTAGTAAGGGAGCACTGTATGTCAAAAAAATGATACTTGAAGGTATTTTCAGAATACATTATTTGTATAATGATATTTAGTTTTTGAGACTTGCAAACAAGTTAGAATGGAAACAATATATCAGCAATACACTGGTGCAGAGTACAGTGATATTTTCTGTTATTGAACATTTGCAAAAATTAAGTATTTAAGAGGAAATAGGAGACAGTAACCATGCAGCTTATGCGGTTGTGCTGCGTTCATTGTGGTCTTTAGCTACACATGCTTTTTAGCATGAACTGATTTACCAAAATTCTTCAATGGAAATCACATAAATAATGCTGAGTAACTCAATATCTTTTCATATTTAAACTTTTTTACCTATTGTTTTCAAAGTTGTTATTGTGTTTGTCATGGCTGTTTCTTCTCTAAGTAACGGACACTAAAGCGACTTGTGTTCTAGTAGTTCACACTGCTAGGCGAGGGTTCCGTATGCATTACATATGTTTGTAATATATTACATATTTTCCATTGTTATCACTGTGGTGCTCTGGAATTTAGTTTTAGATACCTTTGAGAAACTGTGAAGTATTATTCGTAATTTTACAACTTTAAATATTTAATATTATTTAGCAAGCTGTTTAAAATTAAACTAGTTCTCTATTTCTCTGTTAGTTCTATTTCCCAACATGGTTATAACAACCTTTAAAGCATCACCAGCTTTATTACTTATTAATTGAAAGGCATAAATAAAACACCAAAAGAATAAAAAAGAACCCTTTTGTTCAGTTTTCATTTCGTTTTTTGGCTGAGCTTGTGCTGAATTCAAGTTTCAGTCAAGAATTTTAATTTCAGTGCATCACTACCATCAACATTAATGAAGTAGCACTTTTCTACTTTTAAATGAGAATATAGTTGTATTTTCTGTAGATCACTAAACATGTAGATACAGTTTTAACATGCTTCCTGCTTGTTCTAGGTGCATTCTTTCTGTACTCAGGCCTGGCTCTGCTGGGCTTCTTTTTCGTGCTGGGCTGTCTGCCAGAGACCAAGGGCCTCATGCTGGAGGACATAGAGACTTTGTTTAGCAGGAGGCTCTGCACCTGTGGTGCCTTCGGTGGCCAAAACGTGCATTACGTCAGGGTAAATGGCGGCAACTGTCTCTCAGATGAAGACATCTCTGATGGGGAATAGACTTTCGAAACACTTTTTCTCATCTTTTCCTGTCTTTTCTTTTTCTCTGTCAATGAATGAAGTGCATGTTGTTGGTGATGACATCTCACTTTTTCCAATCACCTTGGTATGAGGGTCTCCTGAGCATTCCAGAGAATCAGCGTTATAGTTGATGAGGAACTGGAGAAGAGCTGCTTTGAGCACTCTTACGATAGCACACCTGTCATACATGAAGAATGTATGTGATGCAAATGTACATTGTAGTAAAGAAATTATAGCATTATTGTTATCCATTTTGTTTTTTTCACAAAATAAAGGATAGCATATACAAAAACAAGAGACTGACAACAGCTGCAGTGGTCAAAGCTGTACTCATCACTCTCATACGTACAGACAAACAATTGTGTACTCTGGAATGTGGCCCTTTTTGATTTGTTAATATTAAATAACTGTTGGGGATCTATTCTGTGTAAGGTACAGCACTACAGCTTCTCTTTCCATAACAACATTCTTTATAGGGGACAAGACCTAAAAAAATCAAGGTGCCAAAAAGTGTTAGAGTGATGCCACAGAACATCCATTTTGGTTCACTAAAGAGAGGTTTAAGTGGAGTTTTCAATGGATGGTACTGTTGAAAGGTTCTATAGGGAATCAAAATTGGTTCCTTTTTGGCATCACTCCAAAGATCGTTTTTGACAGCTTTATTTTTAAGAGTGTACTCAGGCATCTCAGTTAAAGCATGTGGTGAGGGTGAATTATTTGAGATTTTCTTTAGATGTGAAGCACCTCAAGAAACTAGCTTGTAACTCATTCACTCACATACTTGCATTCAACAGGCAGAAAATTCTACAAAAGGGGGCACCATTAGCACCCAAATAGCATATGGTGCTTCATTAGATCAGTGCTTTGCATCAGTGACACTTTGCTGTTGAGATATCTTTGTCACTTGACTAAATTTGCCAGTTTCAATGTTCTAGCCTCATTTGGATTTGGGAAAGTTGCATTATGGGACACTGGAACCCGAGGAAGGAATTGCTTACATATCTGTAAGTATTCTGAATCATTATTAGTGTTTTTATTATGTGCACTGTTGCACAAAAACCGAGTGTTTTTTACCAAAAAAAAAAAATAATATCTAAAACAATGTTTAAAAACTATATATTTAAAAGTATTTTCTCCCTTATGTTTTCTACCACTGCAGCTGCAATAATGGTGCAGTTATACCTGGACTAGAAGGTTCAATAAAAGGGGAGCATGCTCAAGGACACAGCACTTTTAAACAGCACTTTTAAAGTCGAACATACTAAAGCCTGTTTTCATTAAAATTAATATGGTTATAAAATACAATTTTCTACTACTTGGTTTTTGATGAGATTTCCTTGTCTTTTAGTCATATATACAAATGAAAGTTTTCTCTGTTTGAAAACAGTGACTGTGTCTCTGCATTTAACAGAGGACAGACTTAAGATTGTTTGAGTAACATGTGATCTACTCCGGTGTCAATGAGTCTGACAATCAAATATCTGTCATAATGGGATTTGGTTATTCTACATCCTGCTATTTGATAATTCAGAGAATGATGCATATTTAGGTGTGTTGGGAATGTGTGACATCTGTTCAGTAACAAATACACTTTTTTACTCCTTGTTTTATAAAATGTTTCTTACATTGTTGCACTGTTTCACTGTTACTCTTGTACTTTCGGAGATACAAATCATGAATATATAAAATGTATTTGTTTAATGTTATATAAAATAAAATTTTGATGAATTTAATGTCATTTGAATGTACTTTCCATCTCACTGTAGCTGAACCGGTCTTAGTCTCTGGCATGCAGAAACCTGTGGAGCCTTTGAGTCCTTTTTTTCATACTGAGTGGCCTCTCTGACCTCAGTAACACTGACCTATGACAGACGGCACCAGACGCCCATGATGGCAACAAACTTTAAACTGAATAATAATAAAAAAAAAGTAATACAAAGACAACAATGTCCTCACAGTGTGTAGTGAATTGCGTATCTAGCACCTATATGCACATGTTCCATACTGAATTCAGTCACAGTGTACAGTTTCTGTTGGATCACAGTGAGATCACTCTCACTATACTGTAGCGCCAGCTGCCTATAAATGTAACTTGAGAGCTGGTAATTGGACACAGTCATCTGGAAGGAGGTCAAGAAGCCCTCGTTGAGAGCTATTTCACTTCACTGCAGGGTCTGCTATGTAAAGAGCTTCAGAAGCTGGTTAATTTTAATACAGTGAGAGAAAAGCACTGTTATGTGAGACAAGTTAATGTAGCTACTGTGAAAGCAGGTACATGAGAAACTTTCAGCTCAACTATCGTAAGCCAAGTAATGTGACAGTATTGACCACCACTCAGAATTGCCCAACTGAAACAGATTTTTATACTTTTGGAGTCTTGCTTTACTTTGAGGAGGAGCATACAGTGGACATAGACAGGCCACATGGGAGCGCCCAATACCACCATACCACCTGTTCATGCAGTATTTCTCTGAACTGTCTACTTTTTAGGGTGTTAGCACACACACACACACACATACACACACACTATAGTCCGTTGCACTGAGAAATGAGCAGAATGTGTTCAAGACTTTGAAAAATGTATTGTGTGGCAAAATCAAAACAGGTTTTAAAATAGCTTTTTTCCCTTTTTTAATGCTGTTGCTTGCTTGTTTTTTATATGATTAATTGATTGATTGGGTGCTAAAATGTTAGGTTTTTTGTTTACAATTACAATACACAGTTTTGTTATGGATAAATAAGTAAATGAACAAGATAAATACACTTAGAACTCAAATAAATAAATACTATGAACAAATAAGAGTTGTCACAGATAATAATAATAAGAAGAAAAAGATTTGGGGTATTCAAAATGTTTTGTATGAATAATTGTAATGTCATTTTTTTTTTTTTCTGAATAAAAATCAATTTTATCGTCTATTGCATCACATATTGGAGGAATTAGGCTCCACATGAGTGACATGTTACGCAGTAGACACAGAGCCGTTGCCGTGGCTGCGCAGGTTTGTATGCGTATTATGATGTCAGCGTGATAGCCGTCGCTACAGTAGGGGTTCGGTGGGCGGGGCTTGGTGACGCATTGCGGCTCCCGGTTCGTCGGCGGCGGCGGCGCGTGAGCTGCGCTTCTCCTGTCCTGCTCGCGAGCTCTCGAGAGTCGTATCGCAGTGCATAAATCCACCCGACATGTCTGAAGAGCGAGCGGAGTTCCTCCTCCGGCAGGCGTTCAGGTCGTAGCTACTTAATGATGGCGGGGCTGAGGAGGCGGAGGTGAACTGACTGCTGCTGCCGCTGCTTCTCCTCGCGGATGGTTCGATAAATAAACACGGCAGTCATGACGAGCGGGCAGGACGAGAGTTCAGTCCGCGTGGCGCTGAGGTATGGAGTCAAACTCTTGTTCGTTTTCCACTCACTGCTTCGTATTAGCGTTGTTGGCTGTCGTACCTGCCTGCAGCGTGTCAGCCTGCAGCCACATCAGTCCGTGACCGCGGAGCCGCCCGGTATTCATCAAGGCCTGCTGCTGCTTTTCATAGCCAGCGCATGTCCTGTATAAAGACCTGCGTTTATTCCCACCTCCATTGATGTTACCACACCTGCATTGTACAGTTCAGGCTTCTCTTTGCGCCTCTGTCGCATCATTAAGGATCAAGTTCTGCTTGAGCTGAATCAGGCGGGTTACAGCAGGACAGCATGGAGCTGATGGAACTGTACAATGCAGGTGTGGCAAGGACTGGAGCCGGGAAGCTCTGCTGCTGCCACAGTTTTGGAGCTTTGTTCACTCTGATTTGCACAGCCATCATGAGTCATTTGCGCAGCTGAGACTCTGGCGTTGTGTGTATTTGCAGTGTATGTATGGTAGGGTGTGCACTGTTTAGCTGTCAGGACGTCCAAGCAGAGTACATACGCATGTAGGCATTATGCATCCTGCAGAAGGTGGATAGATAGTGGGTTCTAAGGTTCTAACGGTGCACTCCTGTCTAGGGCCGCACCAATATGGGAATCGTGGGCTGATGCCTTAATAACTATCATTTTTATGTTGGTGCCAACGCTGATGCTAATACACATATTTAGAAGCTGTAGAAATTGAAGGATCTTCCTGGATTTACATTACAGAGGACTGTAACCTTTATTAGTATTGGGTTACAAGTGCACTAAATTGTAAAACAGGCATTATGCCAAAGTCACCTAAACATTGTGTTCTTCCATGATACAATAAATGCATCTTCAAATGTCTTTGCATGGCGAATGGCATTGTTTCATTTTCAAAACAGATTTGATTCCGATATCATCGCACATCCTTACTCCTGTCACCTGGCCAGATGTATCAGCACATCCAGGGAGTGAACTTTGTTTGAAGCAGCTCATGGGATTTTCCCTTAGCATGAGTGAGTGCTTGTCCTAGCTGGCTGAGGCGGCTTTGAAATGAAAGCTCGTAGTCAGAGCAGGAGGATGGACGGTTTGAAAGACGGTTGGTCGATGAAAGAGCAGCTTTATTGACCTGCCGTTTGTCCAGAGCCCATTTCTCAAGAGCCTCATGAGCTGGTGGGAGTTTTAACTGCCATTTATTTGCTCAAAGCTTCCAAAATCAGCCTGAACAAAACAAGCATGTTTTGTGGTTTACCCACCCTTCTCAGTCTATGTGTGAGTTGCTGTGTCTGCTGGCCCTGACCAAACCATAGCAGTGGGATATCACCCGAACATAATCCCTCATTCAGGAAAAAATGAAAGTGATGCTCTTGTGCTTGTCTGGGTCCTTGTTGATGCCATTCTGTCTTTAGTGTACTGGTCACTAGGGCTGGGCAGTATATCAATATTCATTGTTGTTGTAATACATTACATTGCAGTATGCTTTTCTGAGCATATCGAGGATATTTTCAATACTTAAAAACACTTCGCAACTGCATGTTTGACTACAACGAGAGCATAATTAGTCCTTTTGAATAGAATGTAGTGCAGTGTGTGAAATGGTAAATATAAATGATTCCTTTCACAGTTTTTGATAGTGTTTTTAAATGTGTGATACCAGATGTCATAAAAAAACATTATGACATATTGTGTATCATGTAAACTTGAAATATTGTAATGTTACATTTTTGCCTTATTGCCCAACCCTAGTGGTCACTACATGGCTGAAATGATATGTAATTAGTGTTAGTATCCCCGTTTGAACTTCAGATTTATAGATTTTTCAGCAAATGGGGCCTCATGAAACACTAGCAAGAGTAGCCATAGTCTATTGACAGTGAATCAGAACTAGAGTGGTCATAAAACTTCCAGGTAGTAGGCTTTTTCCTCTTCAATGATGAATGTTCTAAGTCAAATTTTGTTTCTAATATTTATCCTGACCAAGGCCTGTTATTAGGTTTGTTGTCTGATCACAATTATTTAGAATGATCGCTGTTACTTGATCTTAATCATTAAATTTCACTTATGTATTATGCCACAACAAGTGGAATGTGAATAGAGTGCTTTTTTATCAGTTAAGTTGAGGCAAATGAACAGAAGTAAGAAAAGAAGCAGAAAAAGCAACTATGGAGACACATCATGAATCTTACAAAAACATCAAGTTCTATTAAGTTTTAATGGCTGATTTGTACTTCTGCAAAGATGTGTGCAAATCTGTCTTTACTGAGATGCAGGACAGGAGGGCATTGCTATGCATAGGTATGCAGATACGAACCTGTGCAGCTGTTCACTGATTGGCTGTCCAGTAATGTTGAGGACGGGACAAGATCCGTGTTTGCAGATCACACCGACACAGAAGTTTAATTTGACCTTAACTTGGTGCCATAACACATTTAGGCCCTGTTTACGCCAGTCATTAATGTGTGTCATAAGTGGACAGCGCAAAGTACCGATGTGAACCGGGCTCAGATCTGATGTATAGCATGATTTCACCATTTCTCTCCATGAAAAACAGTAAACTTTGCAGTAAAACTGAAAAAAAAACATTGTAGGCTTTGATCTGATCTTTTGAATATGACAAAGAAAAAAGCAGAATATATGTTCTCCAGACCTCCATCCTTAGTGGGCATATCTTTTTTCAAGCACGCAAATTAAACGAAGCCCTAGATTTCTAGTCAACTATCTAGTATATACAACCTAACAAGGAGCACATGAACACAGCATTAGTTATTGATAGGGATCAAAGTAGCTAATTGGCCAATCTTGCCAAATAAATGCTTGTTCTTTTAATAGTTGCATACAATTAACCAAAAATTGGTTTAAATTTTTAATTACAGTTATTTACATGACACTTAATTGTCAGTTAAAGTTCCATGATTATGTGCCGATTTTCATCTTATTTACTGATCAACAGATGGTCAAAATCCATCATTTGCCAAGCATGCATAGCCTCATTTCTAAGTGTCTTCTTAAAGCAGTTCATGAACTTAAATCCTGAGCCTTAACTTAAATAAACTAATCCTGAGCCTGCTGCTGTCTTGCATTTACAGGGACACTGTAATTTGCATGCATTACATGTCAAACAGATTTCTGCTTCACCCTCCCCAGCTAAAACTAGCAAGAGTCATTATGAGCCATGCTTTTTTTTTTAAGAATGCTTTCTTCCTACTTAAACTTCCTTGGAAATAAAAAACAAGCAGTGAAAGGTAATAACCAACTGATTTGCGATGATACTAATAAAGTCATATCCGCTCTGTAACGTCCTTAATCCCTCTTTGAGTAACCTCCTGCACTCTGGGTATTGGGCTCATAGTGTGGAATGGACTTGTTA